GATGAAGTTGGAGAAGTAGGCAGGGATTGGGTCATAGAAGATTTTATAGGCCATGGCAAAGTTTGACTTTTATTCTAAGTATGATGGAAAGTCATTTTAGTTAATGTCACGAATATATTTATTATGAAAAGGTATTTGTTACAAAAACAGGGACCTGTACATGATTTTAAAACTTAACTTGTAGAGGTTGACAAATAAGGTTTACATCTATTCATTACCACCCATATTAAAACCCAACCTAGAATAAGTGGTAACAGAAAAGCAATACATTTTGTCACCTGTTAATGTTCATTCTAGTGCAGAACTAGTGTTCTGCTTGGGTGATTTTCTCTCATTGGGAAATAAAGCAGCAGAATCGACCATTCACCACTCCAGCTCACAGTAAACATTTTACATTTAAGATCAATGTACTGTTGGTAGACTGGTGTTAAAATAAATTCTCTCATGATTTAAATATTAATAATGCCTATTCATGTACTAAATACTTCAGGTAACAACTCTATGAAATAATATCTTGTATTCACAAGACATAGAACCTTTATGAAAAGCTCAAATCATGTAAGAGACATTCATCTTTATATCTTTTCAAGGTATTTAGGCCTGTTTTTCAGATGAGACAACTTCAAGCACAAAGATACTAACGGACCTGATCAAATCTACAGGAGTCACAGGCAAAACAAACACTTCCATCACCAGATTCTAACTCTCGCTCTCATCACCATTCTCCACTTTACTATCCATATCTGCACAGTTTTAAGATGATTGACAGTGTGTCCACACACTTCTTCAAGGTAGAGAGTACACACTTGCCTAGACGAGGTACTTAAGCTTTCCACTTGTTTTCACAGATGGCAATGAGAAACTAGAGTGGAGCAACCTAGCTTCTATTACCTGCTCTGTCAAAGACAGTATGTGCAACCTTAGGAAAGCTAATACATTGTTTTCACTAAGTGAAAATGGAACGATGCAAGGCTAAAGATGTCCCAGAAATAATTATTGTGTACCCACAGGGCATGTAGTGTCTACACAGTGCCACATAGAAGCCTCCACACTGTACTGAAGACGAAGTCTCTCCTGGCCTGTTTTATAGCGGTGAGTAATTCCTCCTGGGAAGGACCAGGGACTCATCAAAGATGCTCTTAACTGGCAGTCAAAACCTGAATCAAGACTAACTTTAGACCACCTTCACCTACTTCCATTCCATTATGAAGCCACCTAAGCTCTCAATACACAGCCGGGAGCAGCTCTCCTCCTGCTGCTGCAGAAAGGGATGCCAAGTAAAGCGCTCTTCCAGTCACCAGTAACCAGAAAAGAACTTGTCCTATCTCAGCCCTTATTTCCAGTTAAACAAAGCCCAACCGGGCTCAGTAACTTCAAGACTCAGTCTTGTACATATTTCATAGGCTGTTTAGGATAGAATCCTGGCAAGACAAGTATCAACAAGAAAGGGTCGTGAAGTGACACTGCAAAGAGGATATTACTTCATCTGTTAGTTTAAGGACATGGGTCTTCTTTTGGTCTTTAAAAAAAGTTCATTTCCTGTCATCGAGCATATGGCTTCCATAACCAAAAGGAGCCAAAGGCTGGCTGTAAGCCCAGGAAGGTTTTCTAAATAATTAGTGGGGCAAATGGGAGAGTATTCAATGTTCTTTACTATTGTTTTTAATTAAGGCACAAAAGAAAAGGAAAGAAAACAATTTTGAAGCCCGTATGCACCTGTACATCTATTTTCCAATAAGGATTTTCATTTGAAGGTTGTCTTTTCTAAATCCTGAACTGGCCTCAGCAGCACTAAGAATACCACAGGCTTGAGAACTACAACCTAGCAACACTTTCGTGTTTAATATTCTTTCACTAATCAGTCTTTGCAAGCGATAATAATCCATTTCAACACTGTACACGGTTAGCTTTAAACAGATACTCCACTCAGCCCTATACCTTAGGCAGAAAAAAATTAGCTCTAGCAGCCATAGTGTATTTTTAAAAGTATCTTTCTTCCAGAAATCAGAAACCTTTAAATTCCACTGCTTTTATATTATTATTTTCCTCATTTTCAAAATCATATGAGGATAACATATTAACTGTGGTCTACAGCAGTAATTCAATAATATTAAGGCTGAAAGCTTTTCCTATTACAAAGTCAAATGCGTCATTTGGTGATGCTTCTGTGTACCTCCTGTTGCCAATGTTACTATAATTGGGAAGCAAAAAATTTGAATATAAACATCAAGAAAAAGGATGATGTCAGTTTTAATGACCCTCCAAACAGTGATTCAGCAGATTACACACCAGGAAATGTACTCATCTTAAAAAGAAATAGGAATCCTAAGATTCCTAAAACTAAGATTTCATTTGCTGATCCATGCAATAGAAACCTGAATCCTTATTCTAAGCTTACACAGCTCACCAAACAACAATTATAACAGCAGCTGGTCTGAAGGAAAAGCCAGTCTCTGAAGTCTTTCCACCTTGCTCTCAGGGGCACATTTCAAATAGAAGGCTCCTGCTGTCCCAGAAAGGATCAGACCCACAGAGATCACTGTCAGTATTCTTCCTGTGCCAACTCAGCCCTCTGACAAAAGACAATCTCTTCATCAAAGTGTTTTGTAAAAGCAAAGGGTTTTGTCCTTTTGCCTCACACAGCTTTACATGTTTCTATAAAGGTATGAACACTAGACCAGAGCCTTCCAAGGCTAGATTTTCCCCCCAGCAGTTTTAAGTTAAAAAAGAATGCCCCAGCAAACTTTGATACAAAAATTCAATCTATTTAAATAATGCATCTATTGCTAAAGGGAAAAAAATGTGTAGTTCTGACTTTGAGAACAGGATCTTAAAAAGTTGTTTTAGTAGCTCTCTCCAAACAAGGCTCACTCAGTAAAATAATACAAGCAGACCTTGAAGATACTGTGGGTTTGATTCTAGACCACTGTAATGAAGCGAGTATCACAATAAAGTGATTCATGCTCTTTTTGCTGGTGGAGAGTCTTGCCTTCCATTGTAAAAAATGCAACACCACCCTGGCCGGTTTGCTCAGCCTTCTCACCAAAGGGCCGCAGGTTCAAGTCCTAGTCAAAGCATGCACCCCAGTTGCAGGTTCAATCCCTAACCCTGATAAGGCAGGTTTGGGAGGCAACCAATCTATGTCTGTCTCTCTCTCTCTTCCCCTCCACTCTCCCTTCCACTCTCTATAAAAATCAATGGAAAAAATATCCTCACTCCTTAGGTGAGGATTAAAAAATAAAAAATGCAAAACCTGTGTAATGCAATACAGTGAAGTGCGATAAAACAAGGTCTGCCAGTCGTGAGGATGTTAATAAACAGATGCCTGCACCTGATACAATCCCACTACATTTGTTTATCAATCTGTGTAACAGGACAGATCTGCTGTGCCTGCAGACTTCATTCTTTTACAGGCGATATTCACAAGGTATGATTGTTGGAATTTCACATCCATTCATACCCCACACACTTGGTTATGACATACAGGGTCATGTCAAAGTCCACTATGATAACGGATGTAAAAGTCCTTGGAGAAGCACAGAACAAATTCCAAATGCAAACTGGCACTAAGGTGATTCAGACCTGTGTTCTCTCCGCTTCATTAATTTAACACCTGATGACATCCTTCTGATCAGAGGTTATAGAGTCCTACATGTAACCCCAACAAGTTGCATTTGCTTCTCAAGTAGATTGAAATATTACAAATGGCTTTTCCTAACAACCTCCTACAGAATAAAGTGCAGTATGGACTAAGGTACCTGAGAGAAGAGCCATGAAAACAGTAATCCCGTGTGAGTGTCTCAGATCAGCCCAACAAACATTAAAATCGAGCTTCTATTATGTGCTAAGTATTATGCGAGATTCAAAACAAAACAACGTGCCCGCCCCCAGCCTGTACAGATCTATGCTTCTTAAATGCAGAAAAGAAAAATATTTAGCTTTGATTATACAAACTGCGTAGTTTATTAGAAGGAAATCTTGCAATTGCACGTTGGTTGTCACATTTATCCTGGAGGAAGTATCAAACTAGGCCATCAATCCTTATGGGGAATTCTGAAAACAGGTTTGTTAAAATGTAAGACAAATTTATCTTGTGGACATAGAGAATATGATGGTACATGCTGCACTGCAGCCGTTAAATAGCTTCTACTACATAGGCAAGCAGAATGGTGAACCACTTTGATTTAAGTGACTGTCCACGGTACACTGATTTAAGAAATCGCCTTCCCCAAAGAGGTGCTTGTTTTATTTTCCTTTTCTAAGTGTGAGTCATTCTACCCCGCCCCCCCAATTCAATGGTTAACATGAACATCATGATCATTTAATATTCACTAAATGAAATGCTAATTTTCAGTGCAAGTTAAAGCTAAACAAGTTGAATTTACACAGAATTGCAGAAAAGGAAGATGCCTGAAAAAAAAAAAAAGTCCCGAGGATTATTCCGTAGAGAGGTTAGGAAAGGCTGCGATGGAGTTTGGAGGGGAACCCTAGCTCCCCAATAACAGTACCTTCTACCTCCTCGGCCGTGGGGATTAAATGACACCTGTGCTGAGGGCCAGTCAGTGCCTGGTACACAGAAGGTTCTCCAATCGCAAGCTCCTGCTACTAATATGCGAAGAAGGGGGGCCTCCTCGGAGACAGACCTTCAGCAA